AAAAAAAAAAAAAGAATAGAAAAGTCACAGAGCATCATGTAATATTGTAAGACTAAGTACTGTTTTGTGAAACTTTTTAATATATGTGCATTTGTTCAAATTATACGTGTGTGTGTGTATACTGGGTTACTGTGTACAGTTTGTATTTTATTGTGGGTTATGGTTAAAATTTGAAAGCCACTGATCTGAAGCATGTGTGATTTTTATTTTGAAAAATTTCAAACCTACAGAAAAGTTGCAAGAATGAACACTTTGGCCATTCACCTAGGTTTCCCAATTGTTGACATTTTACCATATTTGCTTTCTCTCTCTCTTTCCATTTTATTATTATTTCTTACTAACAGTTTGAGTTAGTTGCAAATGTCATGACCCTTTGAGCCCAAGAGTTTGAGGTACAGTGAGCTATGATCATGCCACTGCACTCCAGCCTGGGCAACAGAACAAGACCTCGTCTCTTAAAAAAAAAAATTCACTCTATATTGAAATTTTAACAATTATCAGATTTATTAAGCAGTCATTTTTTTTTCCTATGGGTGAAAAATGAGGTTTCTAGGTCATGGCTTGCTTTGGTCACAATACTCAAAACTAGAAACCTGTTGATTGATCGTAATGTTTCAAAGTGAATTTGTTCTCCAAATGTCTTACTTTTGAAAAGTGAGAATCAGATGAGGGCAGAAATGTTGCTTGCTCAAACCGAGTGTTGTGGCCATGGTAACTGAGTGAGAATCATGAGAATCCTGGAGACCAGATCTCTGCATTGAGGTATCCATGGAAGTCCACAGCAGACACGCAGCCTGGGTTACTGAGGAACGAGGTGCCACCTTGAGAGGAATGTACTTCCTGTCATTTGTCGCGGGTTTGTGAGAGTCAGCCTCAAAATGCTGCTCCGGCTCTGCCTGGGTGGTTAGATGGCCAGCTTTTTAATGGACATTTGTTTGGCTGAATGTTTTTGAACGAGTATCAGCATTAAAATAGCCTCCAGGGAAACAGGTTTTTATAGAGCTACCCAGCCCAGCAGAATTCTGGGAACGTGGGAGCTACTTACTGCCAAACAGACCCAGAATTGCCTGGAATGAGTTCCCAGTGAATTTGTGGCTGTTATGAGCTCTACTGAGAAAACAGGGAGCGAAGAGTTCCCATTTTGAGTTCATTTAGGCTCGCACCCCATCACTGGCTACTTGGTACCTTAAGTAAATGTAGGTACCATTGATTCTGTTGAACAAAACTATGTGTACCAGTCAGGATGGGCCATGTTATGCCTTGGTAACATATAACTCCCAAAGCTCAGTGGCTTACGGAGATTTATTTCTTGCTCATGCTACCTGTCCATTGTAGGATCATTAGCGGAGCTTTGCTCAGTGTAGCCATTCAGGGACCCAGGCTGACAAAGGATACACCATCTTAGGACATTGTTATCCAAATACGAGGCTTTAAGGTTTGCCACGGAAGAGGAGAGAGCTTGGGAGAGTTATTCGTCACTGTTGAATGCCTCCACCCAGATGTGACACATATTGCTGCTTGAATCACATTGACTAAAAAGGTCACATAGCCAGACTTAACTTCACTGAGACAAGGAAGCATGGTTCCCCTGTGCACCCAGGAGAGGGGAACTGGGCATATCAGTGAACACTTGTAATGCTCCAGGCTGGGTGTGGTGGCTCATGCCTGTAACCCCAGCGCTTCAGGAGGCTAAGGCAGGAGGATCAGTTGAGGCCTGGGCAACATAGCGAGGCCCAGACTCTACAAAAAAATACAAAATTAGCTAGGTGTGGTGACACGTGCTTATAGTCCCAGCTACTAGGGAGGCTGGGGTGGGAGGATCACTTGAGTCCAGGAGTTTGAGGCTGCAGCAATCTATGATAATGTTAGAGTAGGTAGTCAGACATGAGCAGGGCAGGAGAGGGCCCTCCCCTTACCAGGAATGGCAGGCAACCATCAGGTGATGGGCAGGCAGTTGTTAGGTGTGGCTCTCAAATAATAATTTGTCACAGCTGGTGCCAGGGAGAGGCAAGCTGCTGATAGAAAACACCTGAAACTGGTGATCAGCAGCATCATGATAAGATCTCAGGAGCTGGCCAAGTGGACTCAAATATGCACACAAAATGGCAAAATGGCAGAGTTTAACTTTTCTCTAGGAACACTGGATTGGTAAGGGAAAAATATGTCAAGTGAGCATGCGCACGACTCTAGTAAATGCACTGTGCATGCATCTCCACCCACGTCCTGGCAGGCCACTGGGCATGCAGACAGCTAACCCCAAGGGAAGACTCAAGGGAGAAGTAACACAACCTGGAAGTATGCCAACGTAGAAAACCCCAAGTCAAAGGTCACACCGTGCACTTGAATCTCTCAAGTTGCCTGCTTGGCCCTTTTCCAAGTCTACTTTACTTCCTTTTGTTACTGCTCTAAAACTTTTTAATAAACTCTCACTCCTGCTTTAAAACTTGCCTTGGTCTCAGTCTCTCACTCTGCCTTATGACTCTTGACAAATTCTTTCCTCTGAGAAGGCAAGGATCGAGTTTGCTGCAGACCCAATCGGATTCACCTCTGCTAACAATCATGCTACTGCATTTCAGCCTGGGTGACAGAGTGAGACTCCATCTCTAAAAAACAAATATAAACAAAAACCTGTACTTCTCAAAACTGTCAAAAGGAATGGAGACTTGAAGGGGAAATGTGGTGAGCATTCCACTAGCCCGCAGCCAGGCTTCCGAACACTGTGTTTACTCTAGCCGATAGGAATGCTGTGGCCTCTTTGTACTGGTTCTTTCAAGCAAGGGGACAGAAAATATAGAGGGGCAGGGCATCATGGCTCATGCCTGTAATTCCAGCACTTTGGGAGGCTGAGGTGGGTGGATCACCTGGGGCCAGGAGTTCGAGATCAGCCTGGCAAACAGGGTGAAACCTCGTTTCTACTAAAAATACTCAGGAGACTGAGAAAGAATTGTTTGAACCTGGGAGGTGGAGGTTTCGGTGAGCTGAGATCGTGCCATTGCACTGCAGCCTGGGCAACAAGAGCAAAACTCCATCTCAAAAAAAAAAAAAAAAAAAAAAAAAAAAAAAAAAAAAAAAAAAAGAGACACAAGGCTCATATTTTTCCTTTAAAAAATGTTTTCCATACAAATACTCAACATATAATATTCAACTCCCCAGAAGCTTGATCTTTGGAAAATATTCACCCTTAGCCCTCTGGCTCTTTCTGAGAGGCTCCTCTGGGTGGTTTCACAACTGAGGTCAACAGCCCCCACACCCACCCAACCTTTGTTAGGCTACCACCGTGCTGCCCTCTAGAGGACAATATCTGCTGGGCACGGCTGTCTGGCTGTCCGTCCCTTCTGCCATCCTCAACCTGACCTCAAGGAAGGGGCCCCTAGTCCTCTTTGATCCTCGGGCTCAAAGATGGTTTAGGCCCTTCCCCTTCATCCCTCACAGCCCAGAAGAGCACACCAGGCTGGGAAGTGAATGAGACTTTTCCAAAGGGTTGGTTACAGTGGAAGTGAGCAGACCACTGACTAACGCTGGATGGGGCTGTTGGCTGAACTGCCAGCCCCCAACCCCGTCAGAGGCCCCTGCAGCTGGCCTGGCTAACTTCCCTCCCCACCTGCAAGCACTGGGAATGCTAAGGCCTCCCTCTGTTTCTGAGGCCAAACTTTTAGGAAGGGGTTTTTTTTGTCCCCCAGCCTAAAGCTCACCTCACCAGCCCCACGCGGGAAACTCAACTCTCCAGACAGTGGCCGGCCTTGCCTTCGGCAGTATTCCCCACGGGATGCCACACATAGGCCACCTGGCTGCCTGCTTGCCTTCCAGTCCCTTCTTTGCCCTGGCTTCACATTGCCTAAAAGCTGCTGCTGAGAACTCCAAAAGAACAAACAATAATTCTGGGGACACCAGTTGGCCTAATGTTACACAGACTGAAGTAGCATTTCTCTCCAAAAAG